ATAAAAAGAAAGGGATATGAATAAAAGTGCACCCTTTTTTCCAATTGGTTAAGGGTTTTAGGATATTTGGGGTTAAATGTCCTAGGGTTTTAATAGTACTGAGTTGAGTGACCTTTTGGGAAGTCCAAATTCAAAAACTTACATTTATAATATTCAGACTTACTATTATTTACTATTTCTTTGATATAAGTATGTTATAGGTAGAGTTTCATTACACTTATAACATTCAGACTTAGATGATTATTTACTGTTTCTTCAATATATGTCACAGATAGAGTTTCATCGGTTATTCACCATATAAACTCCTATATACTTATGGTCTAAGTTTTAGCTAAGGTTTTTGGGTTAATCAAATATGCACATTTCTATATTCCATACACTCATACACATACAAATATAATATATATATATATATATATATATATATATATATATATATATATATATATATATATATATATATATATATATATATATATATATATATATAAATATATATAATCTCCTATAATCTTGACTACATAGCCAAAGTGCTCTAAGTTATGAGTGGACACAGAAATTAGGGCTGTGAGCCAGGCATGCCTTATGGCCAAGGAAGCCCAATAGACCTAGTTGAGAAAGCATAAGTGGGCTACAAGCAATACTACCTTTACAGCTAGGCTGAGCAATAGCCCAACCTTGACCACCAAACAAGGTAAATATTTTCTTTATGGTTTAGGAAGATTGGAGATTAATAGTCTTGGTTTTTCTTTTCTTTTTCTAGATTTTCACCTTTATGCTTTAGCTACATATAAAGATTCTAAAACCAGATGTGTAATTTTTATTATTATAGATTTATTAATTTTATATTTATACTTCTCAACATAGCCACTTCTAATTTATTTGATAATGCAGCAAGGCCCCTAATCAATGAATGCATTCTGAAGGCATTAACAAGGTACTGTGCCACATTAAATCCCTACATTTGCATTACTCATTGATGTCCTTGCTCATTTGATGCCTACAAGAAAGAAAAACAAAGAACTAAATCAATAAAGGAAAGAGACTTATCTCGTCAAACTAGCTATTGCTATGAGAGCTGTGGCACCCATGACAAGGGCATGCTGGAGCAGCCAAGGTACCAAGAGCTTGAAGAGGACCCCTCATCCTCTTGCCATGGCCATAAAAAAAGGACAGGAATGTGGTTGCCAAGTTGCCATTGAGGCTGGAGCTTAGTTGTGGCTGCTACAATGTCTCCGTGCCAGCTAGGGTGCAAGCTGGGCACAGAGCTGCAGCTGCTGGGCAGCACAGCTGGGTCGTCATGGCAGCTAGAGGCTGTTGGGCAACATAGTGAGTGTGAGCTGCAGCTGCTGGGCACCTTATTCCTGCTAGCGAGAAGAGAAGCTGGAAACCTGGTGCATTAGTGCCAACCTCTCTATCAACTACCATGTTTGGATTGGCTAAGGTGGAACTATTCTTATCAAGAAAGAGTTTTGTTTCTAAAAAATAAACTGCTTAATAAAACAACTAGTATGATTTTAGTTTATATTCAAATAAAGAAAGTCATCTTAGTAAGAATTTACTAAATTTGAAAGGTATGTGTAATATGATTATTTCAAAAGTATTTTTATAAATTGGTTTTAAAAGTATGTAGAGGGATAGAGATTTAAAGAGAAGTATTTCAAGACAAAAGGCCAACATAACTTTCTTGCTAAACACAGAAATTTATGAGTGTATACAATGGCTATCCAAATAACACAAAGATACCTTAGGGGTCTTAGTGAAGGTTATAAATGTAGGAATGATAGAATTTGGTGGTAAAGCCCTATTATAGCAAATATAACAATTCATTTCTCATTTAAACCAACTTAGGTTGGCAAGTATATATAGGTTTTCCTTACAAAACTAAAAAGACCTACATTTCTTTTATAAAAAAAACAAAAACAAACTAATTTATAAACTTTTTATTTTTAGGAAGAAATATAATTTAAAAGATATTAGCTTCTTGTACAATGCAACAAGGTTTGACATTGCCAATGCCTGTGTCTTTAAAACATTTGTAAGTTTCTGAATTTATTGGCAATGTCATAGGTGCATTTTATATATATATATATATATATATATATATATATATATATCTGTCTGTGTGTGTGAAAAAAGCTAGAGAATATGAAACTCAATTTTCTCATATTTATTTATTTATTTATTTGCCTTGAGGGTAAGCTTGAGTATGCTGGGACTGCAGATATTATACCAGTTGGTGGTCCACGGGATGTTATTTTATCTACACTAGATGAGGTGATGGATTCTATTAGTTCTTCTTATAGCTATTCATATGGACAGGCATTTGCATATTTTAACGTGATTGGGTCATTTCGTGTGCTTGTAGCTGCATGGTTTCTCAATCCTGTTAATGATGAAGGATATTGTAGTGGTCAATTTAACAGAAATGGTGGTGCTGGTGGAGAAGATATTAAAACTGGTTTATACCCAATTTATCATGTTTTGAAGGATAAAACACAATGGAAAGGTTATGATGCTTTAGTGATTGTTAATGCTAATTTTATGCTTCTTTATTTTTTAGAATATGGATCAACCATACCAAAAATGTCAATAAAAGAACTTATAACAAACAAGACTATAGTACAGAAAATCCCTCAAGAATTGTATGATTGCTGGATTATGTATTCAAGCCTGATTTCTGGAGAGGACTATAATACTTTTGCTTTTATGGACCCTGGCACAGTGAAGGCTTCTCCAAATAAACTTTATGAGTTAATATTGCTTAATAATTGTGAAATTCAATTAGTAGATGTAAAAAAGAAAATTTCATATTGGAATAGCAATACTGGTAATTATGGACAATATGGTTGTAAATTAAGACTTCAAACAGATGGTAATATTGTATTATATCAAAGAAATGGAGATCAAATATATACAATTAATAAATACTGCTCCCCATCACCATGTGAACTACCATCTATCCTTACTATACAAGATGATGGAAATTTAGTGTTATATCGTAGTTTATCAGGAAGCATAGATTTTGTTATCTATCGTACACATTAAAATTTTATTTATATACAAATCATTCAAAACTACATTGTATAACAAGGCGTTCAAATTAAACTCCAAATTCTCATAGTATAGTGATTATTTATCCAATATTGATCAACACACTCAGTGTTTTTTTAAAATTAGAACTAAAATATAATTAGTAAAGAAAAAATAATTTACACTAATTTTAATCTGAAACTATAAAAGATAGTATTATAAAAAATAAAAGCTTTGGATTCTCATTATGTTTAACTAAAGATAATTGAATACTCTTTTGAAAACTTTTAATTTTAAAGT